AGCATTTACAATGATTCCAAAATCTGTCTTACCGTTTTGTTTAAATATTTATCATTTTTTATTTAAAACTTATATAAATTTAATATGAATATTTATTTATTAATAAAATAGATAAATAATAATAAATAAAATAAAAGTTATAAATTCAAAATTAACAAAAATAAAGCATTAATTAAATATTAATTATTGAAATTAAAAAAATAAAATTAAAAGAAAACAAGTCGAAGAAGAAAATGGATTGGAAGAAAAAGAAGAAAAAAAGTCGGCCAAGGAATCCGGATCGGAAGAAGAAGAAGAAGAAGAAAAAAAAAGACGAGGAAGAAGAAGAAAAATGCAGTGTGCAGCCGCCGCGAAAAACCACCCTGTTTCCAGCCCGGCTTTGCGCCGCTCTTCAAGCGAGCGCCACGGCGGAAATTTGGCAGTAGCAAGCCCGGCGCAACGCTACGTCAGAGTTTGTGTGGCGCCATTGTAAATGCCATAAGTAGATTTTTTTTTGTAAAAAGTATAATTTTTTACGATATCAATACACTAAGGTCATAAAATGAGTATAAACTTAGGACCACATAACAATTTGTCTAATTTTCATAAACATGGTCCCATCTGGTTTTCTTGAGCAGTGATTCCGTACACTCAAGTTACATGTCTAATTCCTGGGCTTTCTCACAAAAATTGTTGGATTTAGAAGCTAATGTAGAAAAAAAGCCGTTTCACCCAAGCTAATGGACCAAATCTTAATCTCAGTTATAATTCTTATCTTAATCCTAATACTAATATTTTGAAGTCGACATCAACAACGTCCATATAATAAAGTTCATCCTTGTAATTGTAATTTAAATTATCGTAATGGAAAATAATTTTATAGTTTTGATTAAAAAAAATAAAAATTAAACAAATACTTAGAGACAAAAATATTACGGAGTAATATGTTTTTCTATTTATTATCAACTTTAATTTTAAGTTGCACCTACATTAAAATAATCAAATAAGGGATCCTAATTTTACGATCACCCAAGGCCCAATAGATAATTGAGCCGGGCCGGATGCTCATCGGAAGATACATCCAGACCCAACAGTAAAATTTGTCTTAAAAAAACATATTTTAAGTCCTCTTTTAGGAAGTAAGTTTCAACACGGTTATAGTACAATTGAGGATGTTTGGGAGTGATTAACTTATGGATAAAGTAATTTCCACAAAAGCTGAAAGCAGAAGCACCTCCTACCTGCTTCTCCGAAACGGTGTTCTATGTACAAAATAGTGGTGGTGAAAAGTAGAAGCTGACATGCCAAACAGAGTAAAATCACTTCTACTCAAAGCAGAAGCTAAATGATTAAAAGCAACACACTGCCAAACAGCCTTATATAATACTCCATTTATGTCAAAATTAACTTCTTATTTAACTTCTCACGCTTTTTATTTCAACACTTTGACTATTAGTTTCTATATTTATATATAAATATACTATTTCTGTCCTTAAGAATTTGTCCAATTTTGACCTTTTTCAATGAATCATTTTTAACTTTTGACTTGTAACTAGATAAAATATATATATTTTATACTTCCTCCGTCCCACTATATTTGTCCACTTTCATTTTTGCACACCATCCAATACACTTCTTTAATTCATTTTATCTTGTAATTTGTATATTAAAAAATTATAAAATTTATATATTAATAATCTATATGTTAAGACAAATCAAACAAGATCACGCATGAGTATATTTAGGCTTACACATTGAGAGAATTTGATGAGTCAAAGTGCTTAGATGAACAGTTCTAAAAATCAAAAGTGGACGAATATAGCGGGACGGAGTGAGTATTAATTAGATAAAATAATATTTTGAAATATATTTTATAAAAAGTATCTAATGAAATTATTTTTGTATCAATATCCAATACCCAGTATCATTTTTGTTTAATTTATGATCAAAGATTATCAATTTTGATCGAAATGAGTAAAAAGTGAACAAATATTCAAAGACGGAGGGAGTATATTGTAAAAAAATACTCCCTCCGTCCCAAAAAGAATGGGACGGTTTGACTTTTTGGGAAATTAAGGGAGGGATATTTTGGTATTGACTTTCCAAAAATACCATTGATGTGATGAGTAAAAGTAGGATGTGATGGGTAGATTATTAGGAAAAAGGTATGATGTGATAGGTAGAGTATGAAAAAGTAAGAGGTAAAAGTGGTTTTTTAATGGAAATGTAACGAACTTTACGGGACGCAATTTTTTCTAAACGTAACAAACATTTTGGGACGGAGGGAGTCTATTTTAAAACAATGTTTCAAAATGAATCAATTGATATTAAACGTATATGAAAATTCTATTTTTTTTGTAATATACAGTCAAAGTTTAAAACATTTGATCATGAAAATCAAATTAAGAAGTTAATTTTAAAAGGGAAGATTAATGTTCCAAGCTAATGATGAGTAAATGGGATTAAATTAATTAAACATTTGATACGTGCATGCACCGGTTGAGTTTAAGTGGTTGACAGATTGGTATTCCCATAGTTGTTTTGAGATGTCTTAGGCTTTTGCGCAAAAGTTGTACTGCGTGTTGACTTTTGGGCGCATATATGGAGGAGTACATCAATTCCCAAAACCGTTGTGGATTTTATTTTGCATCCTACATTACTCTTGTTTTATGCTATTTGTCTAGTTTTAATATTTTGCAGAAATACATAAATTCCCCTAATGGTGGTTTTGTTTTTGTCAGCTATTCAGAATGACATATGAGTTTAGCTAGTTTCACCCCTTTCACTAGTAGGATGTGTTCGCGAAATTTTTAATCTTTAATTTTTTCATTTTAATTTTTAATTTTTATGTTTTAATTTCTAAATTCATAATTGATACTCCGTAATTTTAAAATTATTAGTTATTCATTTTTAATTTAAATTTTAAAATATTTATTTAAAATTTAAATTTTTCCTTAAAGTTTTAATTTTTTTGTTTCAAATTTCTAATTTTAAAATTTAAATTTAAAATTTAAAATAATAATTTTTCGTTTTTTATTTTTAAATCTTAACTATTAAGTTCTAAATGTTAAAATTATAAATGTTGATTTAATGTTTTAAATTCTAGACTCAATTTCAATTTTCTAAATATATATTTTTAGTTGAATTTTTAAATTTTTAATTAATAACTTTTAGTTTTTGCATTTAAATTAACATTTAAAATTTTTAATTTTTAAATTTAAAGTTTAAATTTGAAATTTTGAATTTTTAATATAAACTCCATAATTTTAAATTTAATTTTAAATTTTAAAATTTTTAACTTTCAAATTTTAGTTTTAAGTTGTTTATTTTTAGTTTTAAATTTCAGATTTGATATTCTTAAATTTAAAATATTTATTTTTTTATTTTAAATTCATAATTTCAAGTTTTCAATGTTAAATTTTAAACTCAAAATTTAAAAATTTAAAGATTTGATATTTACTTTTTACCTTTAATTATTTACTTTTAATTTTTTTAATTAAATTTTTTTACTTATTTAATTTTAATTTTTTAAATTTAAATTGAAAGTTTTAATTTAAAGTTTTTAAACTTAAAATTTAAAATTTTGAACTTAAATAACTATTTTTTAAATTTCAATTTTGTATTTTAAATTTATATTTATATTTAATTTGTAATTTTTAAATTTTTATATTTTAGTTTGTAGTTTTTAATTTGGCTTCTTTAATTAGTCAAAGAAATCAAAGTCTGTCAGAGATGTCAATAGCTAGCCGAAAAGCCATTTTCTCAATGCACCCAAAGTCTATAAGACCTGTTTCTCTGCTAAAATTTGGAAAAGATCCACGTGATTTAATTTTGACTCATAGACTTCCATCTTTGGATTTAAATTCTTTTGTTGTGTAATGGAATTCAATAATGGAATTGGAAAATTTGATATTATATTTCAATTCCAAATCTACATTTTTGTGCTATTTAATACTGTAGTAGAATTGAAATTAAAGTATCTAATTTCAATTTTATTGCTTGAATTATGTGTACCAAACGGAGCTTACAAAGTAATTTTGAAAACAATCACTTTGTTTTTCATAGATGTGACTCTTGAACATCTAAAAATTATATGTTAATTACTCACTTTGTTTTTCTATGTTAATTACTCCCTCCATTTTCACGGTGTCAAATGTGGCACTTTGACTATTAATATCTCTACCATAAAAAAGTCTTTTGGTTTGATTTGGTATAAAGTTTAAAGAAAGTGAAAATATATGGTTTAAAACAATGGATAGAGGAGAGAGATTTTGAGCCGCTCAAAATTTTACAGAAAAAGAAATAAAAGGTTTTTTTTGGGATGTTCCAAAAATGAAATAATTCTTCTTTTTGGAACAAAGAGTTTAAAAATAGATTCTAATTAATCAATTCATATTAAATTTTATATCATAATTCAATGTATTTTTTTTGTAATTTATGGTCAATGTTAAAAGTGTTGACTACAAAAGTAAAAAATAGATAGAAAGATATGAGACAGAGGGAGTAATGTGTACACATATCTAATTTTTATTCTTTGTTTAGTTATTTTTTAATATCAATGGGCAAGCTTATTATATGTGACATGCATTTATTCAGTCAATCACGTACAAAATGTCATATCTACCAGTAAATAAATTGAATTGAAAATTAAGTCAGTGAATCTCCGTAAAATACAATGAGCAAATTAATCTTGGAAGTACAATATAATATGCTCCCTCTATATAGAATATTTATCTTATATTTATTACTTTTAAGCAATCCGGATCGACCATTGATTTACAATGGAATTAAAAATAAATCATGTATTAATTAGATAAATAATATTTAGAAAATATTTTACAAGATAAATGTAATAATTAAAATTATATTTATATCAATATTTATTATAAATTTATTTAATTAATAGTCAATAATTTTGATTGCAAAAAACCGAAATTGGACAAATGGAGATAATACTAAAGGCTGGTCTGACAACAGGTTTCATCGTTTGATTAGCTTTAACGTATTGAAAACGTTATTTAATTTAACGATAACGTTTATTGTCAAAATTTCTAAAGTTAATTTGCACTATTAAAAAATCATCAAAACGTACGTTAGCACTAATTGAAAAAAAAATAATTACTCCATGATTTCAAACAAGACCTTAACGTAATTAAAAATAGCTCTCATACATGATACATGTAGTATATATGTATATGGAAAATGGAAATGTTCTGATTGAAGAGGAAAAAAAATAAAAGAGAAAGTATTTTGGTGAACCGAGCGACTGGATAACAATGCATGAATATATAGTAGGCCGGGTGCATATTAATTATTAGGGCAGGTAGTCCGACGACCCTCCGGGGGGATTAAGGGCATTTAGGGCCTCCTTCCTTGGTCTTCCAGTTGTTGTAGCAAGGGCATTTTTCTTTGTTGCCGGAGGTTCCGGGAGGCACGCACCGGCACTTTGCACAGCATGGTTCACAGAACGACATGCACCTCGGCTTCCGGTGTTTGGTCTTGGAGCACCTCCGGTCGCACTCTTGTTTGCACTCTGTCCCATATTTTTTATTTTTATTATTAACGTATGGTAGCATACATGCATGCACATTATATTAACTTTAGAGAAATGACCTTCAATTAATAAGACTAAAATAACATTAAAATGCTTAATTCACATAATTTTATTTAATTCTTTAATATACACTATGCCACAAATTAAATAAAAATGATATTGTAGACTGAGTGACATTTTCTTTTGTTTTGTACTCCCTTTGTACAAAAATAATTTTTCCGCTTTGACTTTCCACGCAAATAAGGAAAAAGTAAAAAATGTTTAGACTTTCCATATCTATTCTTGTGACATTTCAAAAAGTAAAATAAAGTGTCTATATAGATAGTGATTAATGGATAAATTAAAAGTGAGGGTAGTAGTGTGGTTTAAAGTAAAAGTATCTTCCAATAAAGAAAATTGAAAGATAATTTATCGACGGACAAATAAGAAAAAATCGGAAGATAAATTATGGACGGGGTGAGTATTTATTATACTTCCTTCGTCCATAAATAAAGTTCCCGTTGCGTGTTACGATGTTTGACTAAAATTATTTTCAAATCATGTTTGACTGAAGTTATTTTCAAATCATTTTATATAGGAACTGGCCCCTATACACACACACACACACACACAATACTAATAATAAAAAGTTACTTACGGCTTTGATGCAGATTGCCATGGCCATGGTTCTGAAATTTTCAAAGGAAAATATACAATAATACATATTAATTCAAACCTAAGATTGAACGTATGTAACACATTTTGTTTAATTTGATGCAATTAAGAAACTTGAAAGTAATTGATTATGTGCACCTGGAGGAAGTAGTCATTAGAGCCATGTCTTCCTTGTAAAGCAAGCTGCAGCAGGAATACATTATAAGTGATGATCGTTGCATGCATGAGTATGCAATTGATGGAATTAGAATTGAAATTCCATGGGATTCAATTCCATAGAAGAATCAATTCCAAATCCACACAATTATTGTACTACCAAACACCAGAATTGGAATTGAAGTCCTCAATTCCAATTCTATAGTTTAAATTTCGTGTACCAAATGAAGTCGTATGATTATTCCATCCCTCTCCATGTATTCAATTACTTTGATTTTTTTGCAGAAATTTTCAATTTTATAATACTGAAAAAATGATCAAGTTTTCGTCTAATAACGATAAAATAAACCCATGAAAATAAAAAAAATTACAGTGGGTTCTTGGAGCATGCAGATGGCAACCAATGTGATCATGATGGACAAAGCAAGGAATTTCGCCATGGCCATGGGGCTACTGACCGAGAATGAATAATTGGAGTACAAGTTAAAGTGATGAGCGGATGAAATGGTAGTCCAAGGATATATATATATATATATATATATATATATATATATATATATATATATATATATATATATATATATATATATATTATTTTATTAAATGATCAATAAAAATATACAAACCAACAAAAGTTGTTGAGATGTCATAATGACAGTAGTGACAGGAAAAGTATTAAGTCAATCAATCTTTTTTTGTGACTTTTCAAATAAAAAGAGAATTGCTAAAGACTTTAAGGTCGAACGTGATAACTTTAATTTTTCTGGATAAGATCTCACATATTCGAATTTCAAAAGGTTTTGACTTTTGGGCTTGAGTAGATAAAAAAGTATATATACCAAAATTACATTGTACGTGATAGTTTCTATTTGAAAAAATAAAATAAAAAAAGGGGTTTGTAAAGCCAAAAGGCGGTGGAAAATGCGAAAAGGAAAATGAAAATCAAAGATTAGATAATTAAATGTCAAAAGCAAATGACAAATTCCCATAATTGGTGGTAAAGTTACAAAGAAGACGAGAAAACTAAAAAGGGGAAACAATAGAAAAGGAAACTTGAAATTCTGGGTACTAAAATGATAGAATTGAAAAAACAGTTATGCCATAATTTATTACAAAGTATTAGACAAGTGTTGACTAAACAAAACATTCATGGCTTTCAGATTAAAAAATTTTTTAGTGTACCAAAATAATTCGACCACACGCGTTCATTGATGAAACAACACAACTTTACGCAACACATTAGAATGTTTTAGCCAATAAATTCGAATGTATGCGGTTGTTACTGTTAATTACAGAGTACTGCTTTTCACCAGTTTAAAGCATGACACTTTGAGTCCACTCCATTCGCGTAACATTTGAATGTATTAAAGTATATATCGAATGTATATGTCCTTTTCCAAAAGATGGTGGTGATTGTCGTTAACATTCGAGTGTATAGTTCCATACATTCAAATATTTTTTTACTCTACTGTTTATGAAAATATAAAGAACAATATCTGGCTATGGGCTCTGCCCCTTGGACCCTGGCACCCCGCTACTGAGGATTGCCATCCCTAGTCCCTATATTTGATTTTTCGGCACCTTTTGTGAGACACATATTCGTGTCAAAGATTAATTGGGAGAAGAGTACGAATTGGATTACCCGAGCTCGTTTGATGAGTTTTGGAGGTATATGTGATATGAGTTCTGAAATCTGAAATGAAATTGTTTGAAGAAATTTGATATCATGATTTAATTAGTGATAGGCGGGTGCAATCTACAACGAGAGTCGGTGGCGGTGGTAATGGTAGTCGGTGGCGGGAGTGGTCGATGGTTTAAGAAGATCAGATATCAAAATTTCATATTGATATTGTTAAAGAGTATCCCACATCGGAACTCGAAGAGGAAATAAACCGGTATATAAGCCCTTGAGTTGAACTAACTAATCGATTGGATTCAATCTTTTAATGTGGTTCAACCCAAGTGTCTTATTATCCAATTCAGTTGTCCATACCTCATCTTAAATTCTATCATGGTATCAAAGCCAGTTTTAGCCCACCTTGTTTGTCAAGGTGTTCGTCTAGATGTTCATTCCTAGGGGCCCGTTTGTCTTTAGCCCAGTTGTCCGTATGGAGTATGTACCCAACGGCCTGTGGCCTGTTTAACACGATTGCTTGTCTGGAAGTCCATACCCAGCGATTCGTGGTCCTTTAGGTGTTGGCGCTCAAAAAAAATCAAGGGGATGGGAGTCCATTTGCAAGTGGTCAACCGGTTAGATTCAAAATGGCCCGGTTGTCCACTTGAGGGGGAGTGTTAAAGAGCATCCCACATCGGAACTTGAAGAGGAAATAAACCGGTATATAAGCCTTTGAGTTGAACTAACTAATCGATTGGATTCAATCTTTTAATATGGTTCAACCCAAGTGTCTTATTATCCAATCCAGTTGTCTATACCCCATCCTAAATTCTATCAGATATCTTTGAAATTTGAGGAAAAATATGACACTTATTTTTGCATGAATTTGATATTTTAGTTTTATTTAGATAGACTTCTTTAGACTAACCTAAATTCATTGACTTTTTACCAAATGATTGTTTTATTCTATATAGATTACTATTTGTATTTGTAAAGTCAAAAATTTATATTCATATTTTTAAAATGTCAAAAATTACGAGATTTAAGAAAGTTGTATTCGGAGCTAAAATTCTACTCTTATGCTTGTGAGCCGGCAGAAAACCCAAATTTATGTAAACAATTAATGAAAAAGAGCTGGGCACCAAACATTTAGATAGGCCCATGGATTTAGCAATATAAAGTGGCCCATTGAACTCGTGCAGTGATTTTTTTAAAACGGCCTCTTTCCCCTTGATCATAATAATTGGGCTAATTAATGAGAAGAAAAATTAAACTACTCGTAAAAAATAATTTGTAGACTAGTCGATTATCACGAGAGATTCTTAACATTTTAAATTTAAAATTGATAAATAATATAAACCACTTAACTCTTCTAACAAAAAAGAAATATGAACCGGATTTTTAGTATATAAAATCAGAAAAGTTATACTCAATTTGGTCCTAAAAATTCTTCGTATTTTGACTTTTTTGGTCAAACAGTACACTCTTTGATCATAAATTATAAGAAAAATAAATTAAATTATAATATAAATTCAATATAATTGGGTTGACTTTAGAATATTGTTTTGATATATCAAGTTTTTATAATATTCATTTTTTTAGATTATGTTTTATTTATGGTCAAAGAATGTCATTGTTTGACTCAAAAAATCAAAAAAAGAATTTTTAAGATCAGAAGGAGTATTTAGAATTATAGATCCATTTTTTCTTAGTTGTTTATCGTCTATTTTCTAAAATAAACTTTGGTCTTTAATTTCAAAAAGTCTAATAAAAATATTAAATCGTAGAGAAAACTCGTTCCCAAAATTCGCTCAAAAATACGTACATCTCGGATATGTACGTATTTCTTCTCGAGGTATTTATTTAAGATGCTATAGCGGACCGATTCAACTGATTATCTTCTCTTATGATTCGTTTGGTATGGAGAAATGGCGGAATTGGAATTGAATTAAAAGTTGAAATTCGATGAAATTGATTTAGAATTGAAATGGATTTTTTTATGTTTTTAACAACAAATCATATGGTGGATGCAATAGCTTTTCTTCAATTACAAGTGTGTTAGTGAAGCCACAATGTCTTTTTGGAAGTGGTTTTTTTATACTCCCTAGTCCCTTATTAAGTGGAATTAATTTCTAAAAGCAATATTAGAAAAAACATATAATTTCTTCGTTTAGAACATGTACAACAGCGAGTAAAATTGGTGTCACGCTTGCCACATCAGATGACATCCCCTGTTTGCAAGGCATGGAGGAAGCGTTCCACCCTCTTTGCGAGGCTTGTCCGTGGCACTTTTGCACCATTTTTTTTCTTTCTTTTTGTTAAACTTAGGACAGGTCTGAACATTTGTTGTCTAGTTCTTGTCCGTCGCATCCAATTTTTGAGTTTTGCATCATTCTTTTTCTTCCGTTTTTTTGTTTTTTAATGAATAATATTTTCCTATAAAGAAGTAAAAATATTTTTATGATAAAATAAATAAGTAAATCAATTAAAAAATATTTTTATATAATTTAAATTAAAAAATTTAAAAAATTAATTTTCTCTTTGTACAATTAAAATCTTTACAAGAAAATGCAATGATTTATAATAAAAAAAAGCACACATGGACTAATTAAAATATGTCAAAAATGTTAATATTGCCAAAAAAAGATTACAATTATTTTTATTAAAAAAGATAAGTAAAATATTTTTTAGTAATTAAAATATATTAAAAATGTGTAAAAAATGATAAAAGGAGTGACTTGCCATTGCAAGACATGTCATTCCACTCATGTACCACACGGTGATTGGACTACTTTTGATTGGCTAAAATACTCCACGTCATCGTGTGACATTCAATTTCTTACTTACCATTGCCCATGCTCTTATCTTCTGATATAAGACGGTGATTCCCTCCGAACGATACCTTAATAAAGGTGTTTATTGGTTTAAATACAAAAAAAAAACTATTTGTACTTAAAAATGGATGAACTGATTTCGGTTATTTCGGGTTCTGGTAGATTCGAGTTCAGATTATGAATGACATGTTCATGATCCAATGTCACGGGATTGATTCGATCGACATAACGAGTTATGACCTTTAGTTTCAAAATTTTTAAATTCATATTTAACATTTGCATTTTGCATTTAATAAAAATAAAATATCAAAAAAATTGTATTAAATCTATTAGAATATATTATTTTGATTTTTAAGTAGTTTTTAGACATTTGAATCAATATTATGAATAAAAAACTAAATACTGGGGTAAATTTCACTCATGGTATACGAACTTTCATGATTATTTCACTTTGGTATATAAACATTAATTTCTTTCACAAAAGTATACGAACTTTCAACATTCTTTCACCGGTGGTCCAATAGGCGGTTTCTAAGTCACCTTCAGGTCATTTGAGGTCAAATTATAATTTTATAAATTTAAATTTTATGATTTTGACCCCTTTTCTTTTCTTTTTTTTTTTTCTCTTGATTCTCCACCCTTTTCTTCATCTTCTTAACACCCCACCCTCCCCCTCCATTTTCAGTTCCCAGCCTCAGCACCATGTGTCGACCTCCTCCCTGACGGCGGTGAATTCATTCCGCCGAAGACAACATCAGTTGCTGCGTACCCACTGGGAATTGAAAATAGCAGAGAAGACGGAAAAGAGCAGAAGAGAGCAAACCACAGAGGAACAGGGGAGGCGGTAGAATTCTCAAAACTTATCAAATTGCATAATTCAATTACATATTCTCACACAACCAATCAACAATCATAATCATGAATTCAACGTCAATTGAACGAGAATGTATTGTTTGATGAAGACTTCCACTGTAATTGACATAGGGATTCCGGTAGTGT